ACGGTGGTTCCAAAGATCCCTTCTTTGCCCACCCTGGCATTGAAGTCGCCAAGCACGATCTATCTATCATAGATCTATCACTTTAAAATATTCTTGTTATTTCATTTAAATAGTTCAATAATGCGTATCTAAAGCTCCAAGAGCGAAGAGGGAATCGTGGAAGTACTTTGCGGCAACGCAATGAGGCCACGCAATGAACAGCTAAGGGGTGAGCGGCTTAAAATCAAAAGGTATGAAATACTATTTAAGTGGCCACGCAACGAGCGGCATTTCTGTATGGCGCTGTTATCAACAATTCCACGGGAGCCGAACCTGACAATATTCCCGGCCTCCTAATCACGCACTGCAAAATAGAATTTAAGTATCTTAAACTAGTCGGGATCTGTCCAGCGATGCTGCAAAAGCCAAGTCACCTTGGTTGAAAAACAACTTTTGCAGCGGTCCTAAGGCTGAACTATGTTCCTCTATCTTGGTGAGAGGCGAGAATTGTGTTTTTACTCAAGGCAAGTGAAACAACCTCTCCAATTTTAATAACAATGTGATTTTTAATTTTCGGGATACTAATTTTTACTCCTTGAATGCAAAAAGTCTTGAAATAGATTGGAAATCAGCGTTTCTGTCGAAAAGTGTCGCACAGTGATTTGAAGCTTGCTTGTTTGAAATCTTCAAAACTTTTGCGCTTACCTTTCATTTCTTCCTGCATTTAAAAGTTACACTGGTACAATAAAGATTTAAAAAAATTAAAGAATCAGAGAAATAACTTCTTTCATTTATAGAAAGCCACCAAAGATTTATCCTTAAAAGAAAAATATATTCATAACATGACCAGTTGTAATGTCCTTGACAAATTCTTAAAAATAAATATATTCGAAAAAAGGTTCCTCAAATATTCCCAAATGTGTGGCGGTTGGTCGAAAGTACTCTTTTTTAAATCTAATTTTATCGTTGATACTAACCACTCTACTAAGTGGTACTTATTTATGCTAGATGTTGACATCTATAAACAGTCGACTTTGGGTCTCGTTCTGTAACAAAGTTAAGTGATATTAATGGCATTTCCGCAATACAAACGTCAATGAAATGTAATATATGTAGATGGATTCTGTTTATATACATATACTTAAGAATTGCAATTCTTCATTTTGTGTGCCGCTGAAATAAATTCTCACTTGCTTAAGGTACATTTATCGATCACTCGAAAGTGGCGTCGATAACGCCAATTTTTAAGTCAGTTCGCAAAACCGATGTAACAACTCTGCAGTAAAATTTAGAGGGAGTCTAACAAAGCGCTAGTTCCGAACTATGTATATCAGAACTATCACTGCACTAGTGCAAAACGGATGCAGAGCGGGACAGTTGAGTTGGACCAAAGGTTGGCTATTGTACTAGACGACTACGAAATACCCTGTATACGAAATACCATGTATATACTAACGATGTTAATCCCGGGTCCCCGCTAGTTCCGAACTACATATGTATATCAGAACTAGTGCAAAACGGATTCAGAGCGGGAAAGTTAAAACTAGCGGTGTAAATGTGCAAATACTCACTACGTGTACAATTCGAAAGTAGCTCGGCGAGAAGACTTCCGACTCAAGCTTGGTTGGTCGCGAGTGCAAATCGCGGAAGAGGCGCAGTTGTGAGTTTTCAACAGTACTGTCGGAAAAGGTCTAGTTCTACGCTAATTCTAAGCTAGTCAGATTTTCTGCAGGGAAACTACAGATCTGCATATGTATGTATGTATCCCTAAACTTTTTAATTGTTCAAAACTATTTATTCGAAAAAAAATGAAAGTAAAATTATTAGTTGCTGTAAAAGAAATAATAGAGCACTGAGATCTACTGAGTTTCAACGTTCCGCAATTAAAACTACGCTTTCAGTATCCGTTTCATGTCAAGATAATTATCATTATTTTGATCCTATTTGATGTAGACTTTGTTCTCCCGAGATATCGGTTTGGCTTGAATCGTCCCATCCATGGTCATACTTTCTTGGTAAACCAAATTATTTAAATTTAGTATGTAAGGTTTATATTCAGAGGCGCAATGACCGAAATGACGTAGTACGCGTATACTATGGCAGGTTCGCAGAGTCGACATTTCAATCGCAAGTAATAACTACAGAAACGGATATTGAATACAGAGAATAATGTCGAAAGACATGCTCTCTGTTGATTTAATATGGTGAACTGTAACATAGAAATCCACGTACGCTGGACCATTGGCGAAGGTATAACGATTCGTTGCGCTATGTATAACAGGACTACATACACCAGCGCCTGCTCTCAAGAAAATTCTATATCTGCCACACATCGACCTAATTGCGGCAAATGTTGCAGAAAAATCAGCGTGCTTCATGTGGAAGAGAAAGTTTCGCGCGAGAAGCTAGGGTGTCATATAGGCCTGGAACACAGTAACCGAACTGTAACATATTCCAAGACGTATGTATCTGAAACAATTATTTCAGTGATGGCTGGAATCTATTGTAATGCGCTAAGTATTAGGCAGTCAATTAATATGCCTGATGTGGTGTAGTATTCTGCTTTTGCGTTGGGGACAGCCGCGGAGCTAGCCTACACGAGAGCATGGTGCAACTCCAACGTAACCCCTTATATATGCAAATAAATCCGTACAGTCAAGCAGAAATAAAGGCGCTTGAACTGCTCAGGGTCCAATCAAGTTGAGAGTCTACTTGGCCTTCTTTGACTCATCAAGAATAGGACCTGACCTCACTAAGGACCGTTAAGAGGGTCTATGTGTGACCCCTCAGTCCGCCAGAATAACCTAACCTTACCTACCTCAAGCTCAAATACGCGACACGGATGACGTGTTCAACGAAAAATAGAAGCCGAAGCTAACGTCTTCCACTCGTTAAAAAAAAAAAACAGGTAAGAATAGCAATAATGCGGCTGAAAACCAGCAATGCCCAATGAGGTGGCGGAATACTTGCTGAGGTGTTCGAAGGCGAAGAGCTAGTAGGGCACATGTGCCAGCTGTTGGGCAGAACTTTAGTCTAATAAATATGTTATCGGTCAAACCCGATTTTTGGACAAACTAGTTTTGCTTAGAATAACTTATGTAGCTCTACCTACTCGCGATATGGGATATGCCGTTATGGTCTAAACTAAACTGGCCTGGTCCAAGCGCGATAAGAGAAACTAGTAAAACCTAGGCTGAACTGAAGAACATCTCTGGATATGCATAGAAACATTGGGCACGTTCAGAAGGCTCAACAGCTCACTAACTGTTGCGATTGCACCTTCTGAACGCGTTGTTGTGTTCACTCAACTGAACAGTTGCGTGTTAGATGATCATAATAAGAGTGTACTCGTACGCCCAACTATCTAAAGTTTTAGAAAACTTTTACTGGTTTTGCGTTCTCGTACCCAAAAAACTTGCAAAGTAGGAGAAATTGAGAGAACAAAATGTGAAAGAGAACTGCAAATTTCTGCTGGAAAAATTTTCCCAGCTAAAACTTGCAAGTAAGAAAATCGGCTGATCACAAACACATGTTTGTAAATAAACAAAAGAAAATATGGCCTTTTTGAGTTATTTATTGCAAATTTTATTATTATTGCTAGTATACAAATAAAAAGTGCGAAAATTTAATAAGCCAAAGAGTTTGTTGAGTTTATTTTACGTTAATTTGCTAATAATCTCCAGTTTGTTTACTTTAGTGTGTGCTGACTATGGTTGCCGTATGACATTTTTCGTGTGTACCATAATTTTCCTTTAAATATACCAAAATAGATTTAAATGAAGCATGCTGCAATGTTTTTTTGCTGAAGTTTTCGGTTTTGGTAGGTAGATTATTGAAATGAAAATTTTATAATTTTAAAGCTACATCTGTAGCTATATCCATGATAAAAATATTACAAGTTAAATTCATTGAGAGGCAGTCTGACGTTTGCCAACATTATAATTTTAAAATCCGAACTCAAGCTCACACACACATTCTCATTTTTAATCTCAAACAACAACAATTGTGACCAATTTAATTTTTCTATTTTCAACGAATTGAGAGAATGGTTTTACCTTCTAATGTTTTTATCACGGTTATATCTATTACATTTTTTGGATCAATGATGGGTGTTTGGAGGAGATACTCTTGTTTTTAATGCGTCACCATATGATACCACAAATAATTATGAGAAAAATAACTTATTCATTCCGATATAATTAATTCGTATTTTAAAAAGGTTTTCCTTATCCAAAACTATTCAATGGTATAAAATGCCAAATCGGGGGAAAATGCACCAAGCAGAAAAAAAAATGCCAAATTAATCACCAGTGGCAACTGTGCAAGTGATCAGCTGTTTCGAAGGTTGCAAGTTTTTGCAAATTTTGCATTCTCGTACTACTGTTGATATTTCGTCTCTTTGAGAGCGAATGCTGCTAAATTCTCAGAACTTTTGCTGCGGAAGAATTTTGTCCTCTCAATACGAGTACACACCTAATATTTTTTGACTATTTGAGACAACATGTTGGTGTGTACCTTTGAGAGTAGAGAGAGAGAGAGAAGACGCATAACGATCACTGATTTTTTTAGCAACGGGTGCGCTCAACTGCTGCGTCTTCTAAACCTACCCATTGAGAGAAGGGGCGACATGCGAATGGAATAACGGAATTTAAAAGATCTGTAACGCCATGGAAATAATTTAGAGTATAAAAACACGAAAGCGTTGGCTTGGTCATGTCATACCCTGTAAAAATATCCCTCGAATCGGCAACCATTCATTGGCGCCCACGAACGCAAAAAAGTTCAGAAGTGCCTGCAAGCAGTGCTTGGGTTGAAGAGCTGACGCAATTTGCCAAATGAGAAAGAAAAATGGCGAGGTTTTTTGGTCGCGAAACAAAAGCGGCCGCTGTGGTGCAGTGGTAAGCGCTCATTCCGCAGCGCCTGGGTTCATGCCCTGGTCAAAGCAACATCGCAAAAA